AATCGCAGTATAGGAAACATTTCTTGTATACTGTTGACGTCAGTTGTTCATTTCGATTGCGATGGAAACAAAACTTGCCACTGACTGAATATGACGTCACAATAGAGAGGCGTAAATATTCAAGATTACGACACTTTTTGTGATCAAGCAGCCACGGGTAGGAGAGAGCTATATATGCGGACTCCGGACCGTGGCTTGAGACGATGTTATGGTCTCTGACCAGCAAAAAACGGAGAATTACCCTCTAGTTATCAGACTGATATGGCATGTAGACGTTTCATGGAGCATACATTTATGTTTAATGATATCCAGCAGCAAAATCTCAAAAGGCTTTAAAAATGCTAGGGTTCCCTCCATCATGTTTGATGGTGCTACAGATACTTTTGCATCTGAAAATGAAATAGAGGCATAGAAAATGCACATGCAGAAGAGTTTTAGCTGCTATTGAATCAGCCATGAATAGTGTTGAAGAAGGGTGGAACTGGAATGAACGTGTAATTGGTACTGGCTTGGAAAGTGCTAGTGTGAATCTGGGGGAAAAACATAGTGTGTCGAAGCTTCTGAAAGATTAAGAACCAAATTTAATTGCGATGCATTGTGTGTGTCATAGGCTCGAATTGGGAGATCTAGACGCAACGAAAGACATTCGATACTTTTTGCCGATCTTAAATCTATACAGTAACTGCTGAGGCTACATAAACACTATCATTACAGCTCAAAAGCTTTAAGAGAACTCCAGATGCCAGCAGAAGCTATGGAGGCTAAAATGATATAGCCAGTTAACCGGGACGGCACTAGATGGATGCCACATTTAAGCAATTGTCTCAATGTTCTTTTACGCCACTACCAAATATTTGTCAATCATTTTAAAAGCACAGTGGAGGGAAAAATAGGGTCAGTTGATGTCCAAAGCAGAGCAAAATTTATTCTAAAACATCTGAAGGACTACAACCTTCTTCACCACATGCATTTTCTAACAGATGTGCTTGCAGTCTTCAGTGAGCTTTTCCCTCAAATTCCAAAAGGACAGCTGTATTTTCCTGATGCTGTGGAGGCTCTGGAGACTGCTACTCTGCAACTTGTCGCACTGCAGCAAATGCATGGAGAAAAGTTGCAGTTTTTTTCTTGATAATATTGATGAGGGAAACATATTCAAAGGTGTTAACCTTCTTGCTCAACTTCTACACCTGATCAGTTGAAAAGGAAACAGTATGGCCTTCAACCTGTTATTGACCATGTTAACAAACGAGTAGGAGATATAGATTCAGACCAATTATTGAAGGATATGCAAGTTTTCTATCCTATTAACCTACCTGAAACAGATGCTGCAAGAGCAATTTATGGAGAACAGGAGATAAATGCCTTATGTGAGTAGTATACTGTGGTCTTGAACAGGATGAACTGCAATGTTCAACAACTAAAGTTGGTGGAATGGCAAGGTCTGAAAGTTCACATGAGAGGTCAAAACATTGGAATCGGAGTAGATGAGTTTTATCAGAGATTGTTTTGTTATCCAAACCTGAAAGACACATTCAGAAACAAACTTATGCTTGCTGAAATAGTCATGTGTATTTCCATGTCCAGCTCCATCTGTGAACGTGGATTCTCTGTCATGGCAAGGATAAAATCTGATTGGAGGGCAAGTCTGAATTATGAAATGTTGAACTACTTGATGACCATACCTATCGCAGGTCCAGAATCTAAGGATTACAATGCCAGTAGAGCTGCAGTACTGTGATGGCATGGAGGACAAAGGGCAAGACGTGTTTAAGAAACACGCACGCTAACTCTTGATTCCCGCCTACATTTTGAAACCAATTAATTCAATATGAATAGCAATGTGGCCATAAAATCTTTGTTTAACACAAAGAACAGTTCAATGGTAATTGATACATCGTCCTAATACCAGCGCTAAACAGTTAATTATCCATAATTCCAGCTCTTGAAAAAAGGGGGGTAGACGATATTTTCCATTGAAATCGGAGTTTCAAGCATCACCGTATTTTGAAATAGTCTTGGATATGATTAAATGTTCATTATATCTTTACTTATGTTTTAGGCAAATAAATAAAACAAATATTTCAATAAAATATAATGTTTCCGTTGTATATCGCTTTGAAATTGGTGGAAAATAAGCATTTTTATCGTTTTTTGTCAATAAACATATGTCCCCCCCCCCCCCCGTGTCACATAAAAAGCTTTGGTATGAATTTGTGAAATACCATTCCATATTACCTGTAAAAAGGAATTTTTGTGACACGGGGGGGAAAGATGTATTAAAAATATTTTCCGTTTTCCATTGATTTCTATAGTGAAAAACACAACTTTTACCCAAATTTTAGAGTTATCTCTCTTTGTGTTCCCAAATAAGTAATGTTTTATGAAAATCCATATAATTATCTATAAAAAATATAAAAAAATTCATCGAATATGTTAACTTTTGAAAATTGACTTGGGGGTAGGCGGGAGAACAATACTATCGTTCGCAGTTCTTTCATTAACTCTCAACATATTCTGTTAAGCATCTTCTGATCATTGATGACTATGATATTATGTTTTCAAGTCAAATCAAAACTTTTATTTGCTTAAACAAAGAAGTTTTTTTCCTACCTTAAATAAAAGAAGTTTAAAAACAATTGTGTAATTTATCAATACTTGGTCTAAGCATTCAAGTTAATTGACTTTAAAAGTAATTTTTATTTCCAGTTCATCAGATTACAAATGTACACTGAAACAATATTACTTCCTTTAAAAATGTGTAATATATATTGATTTCATGTCCATGTAAATATTTTAGCAATAATACCAATGTATCATTCAGTGAATCACAGATATAAGGTCAGGTCTAGTGAAGTAGAGGTCAGGTCTAGTAAAATTTTCAATAACTAGTCCGACTGGTCTAGTTTGATTTAAAGTTAATGTTGAGCCCTGCATTGTGTCCTAACTATCTGCAAAGTTTGCCGAAATTCTGTGCAGCGGTTTAAGAGGTGTGCTGACAAACTGTTCATCTCTATATTCAAGGTATGGTAAAAAACCTAAGTTAAAAAGTGGAGAAATTCCCGGAAAAAATAAAGGAATTGGAATTTCCTGGTAATATGCACATCTCCACATTGTGTCCCAAATATCTGCAAAGAACGAAATTCTGTGCTGCGGTTTTTGAGGAGTTGCGCTGACAAAAAAAAACAGGACTGCCTGACTGACTCACGGACGGGTCAAAAACATTAAACCTCACGCAACTTGTTGAGCGGGGTATAATTACACGTCATTCTTTAGAATCGGTCTCGTTAGCAAGGATATACGAGGTGAATAATGGTTTAAGTGTCTGTTTAGGACGACATGTAGAGCATGATAAAGTTTAAACTTTATCTTTATTTATTCATTCCAATATCTACATGTACATAGTCCGCGTGGCGCAGTGGTTAGAGCGTCGACTCTAAAGTCGCGAAATAAGGAGGTGATCCTTACGTCGCGGGTTTGAAACCAACTGTGGGACGTGGGGACCGGTCCTTCGGATGAGACCGTATAAACCGATGTCCCGTGTCATACAAAGTGCTGCCACGAAAAAGATCCATCCCTGCTAAATAGCCCTGAGTGCCGAGCATGGGACAAAATTTGCAGCTTACCACCGGCATGTAGTGGCCTCTCCATATGAGTGAAAAATTCTCGTGAGGAACGTTAAACAATAAATAATCAATCTACATGTATATAAAAATTGATTTTTATATTTTGCATGTTATATGTATATTGTACAATAAAGCTGTTGCGTGTCGTTGCTCTGTCCAAATGGTGTGTAGTTGTTTATTGTACTTTTATTTGAAAGTAATGAATGGATTTAGAATAGGAATTTTGTATACAGATTTATCATAACATTTTTAGACCAAGTTCTATTTTGGATACGACAGAGCAATATTTGACATAAGGAGATGTCACTATATACATGTACCTCAGAAAGGTTTCAAGTTTCTCACAAAGTACGTATACTATCAAACATTGTTTTCATTTAGTGAACACGGAAGTAAGGAGAAAAATTTCCAGTACATGTATATATCCTTAAATTCAAAAGAAATTGAAAATGCAGTTAACTAAAAAAAATTTAAAATGAAAAAAAAAATTTAAAAATGATGAATTTACAATTTCTCTATCCGAAGTCCAACGAGGAAGCAATGGAGTCCCATCTTTTTATCTTCCAGAATCGGACATGAAAATGTATTCCAGATCATTTGAGGAATCAAATCAAAGGGTCCAGAAAATTTACTATTTATGTCTGCTTTAGGTGTCCTTCTATATGTAAGATCAACAAGCCCCCATTATGTTATCTGTCGAGAATGCTAAATCCCCAAAATACTGAAATTAAAAGAAGATCATAGATGCAAGGATGGCAAATTGTCGGCAGTTATTTTTTTAGAAGCACTTTGAATCGGCCAAGAGGCACGACATCATACAAAGCAAGGGAGTGTATTCAAAATGGATGCAAGGCAAGGGTAGATTTGACAAATGCTTACAAATGCCGTGTACCTTGAGGTTGGCATTGAATGAGAGATTCAACCAAGTGAACGAAACTGTTCGAACACAGCTTTATATACGCTAGCTAGGGCCAAAAATTAAAGCCAATAAACATCAAAGATATTATGGCGATTTTAAGTTATCAGCCTTGTTATTACCCAGAATATCAATATGGCTGGGAATCCAACGAAATTCGACATTTTTACCTTGTTTAGTGAGATCTTAGTAGATCCAAAATGTATGGATGATCAGATGCAACGTCAGGAATTGCTACTCAACGTTGTAACGTCAAAACAACGTCGATATGAATGGTTAACGTGCAGTGTGTAAATATGTTTTAAAAGAATAATTGATTCCATTGAAGTAATAATTAATAGTAATTTGTTGACAGAACCTTGAGTAAATGTACCCTTTTCAATGAAGCAGATCATCAAGACAAACTATACACTGTATTTTAATTATTTGAAAAAGAAAAACTAAGTATATAATTTATTAGAGAGGTTTAGCAAACCAACGTGTACGCGTACTTGTACGTGTAGCAGGGGATTCCCCCCGGAAGTCTGTGTATTACGTCATCATTCTTGTTAATGACGAATTTCTACACGTTTATCGAAACGTGTAAATCACCGAGTACACGTAAGTACAAACTTGTAGCTGATATTTCTTTATTTGATGTTTGTTTGAAAGAAAGATAACGAATTTCGAAAAATAGAAGATATAATGCGGATGTTGGTAGAAAAAAACATAAGTTCTTATTGAAAAAAGTATCTTATTGCTTGTCAAATACACACACCTATTTACTACCTTGTCTGTCACAAAATACATATATGAATCAAGATTATGACAAATTTTAAAAAACATTTTCTTTAGATATTTATGCATTAATTTGTTCAAATTAGTGATACACGATATAAGTTCACAAATCATCTTTTACAATTCATACAGAGACGGTTTGGTCGAGGGGGGAGGGGGGCATGGCAGGGTTGTTGAAATACACAGTAATAAAAAAAGTATCACTGTATTATTTTGCAGTTTCCTAACATGTCTGAGCGTAAGAAACAAATAAGATTTTCCGAGAAGGATGATTTGTTACTTCTGAGAGAAGTTTTGGCAAAAAACCCGTTTAAAGATCGAGCGAAGTGGACTGACGTCAGTGACGCTATTAGCAGGGCTGGATTCACGGTAGATGGCCGGAGAGTCCGAGAGAGAACCAACCTGCTGTTGGAACACCATAGAAAAAATGATGCAGAAAGCAAGAAAAAGTATAAAAACTATCACATATTCCCAATCTGATTTTTTTAAATATACTTTGTATATGGCTTGTATATGGCCGGTATTACATCTAACTATATAATTTTATATAAGGAAAATTCAGAAGGGCAGGTATTCTTAGATAAATTACAATGCTGCATGTTAAAAAAAAAAAAAATATATCCATTATCAAGATTCTAATCATAATCAGTGCGGTGACTTTTAAATGTTTTTTAAAGAGGGGGGGGGGAACTAAAAAGTCAAAAGGGGTTCGGAAATATTTAAGAATCACATGTTACGTTCAAGCAGAATTTTGAACAATGGTTTTTTTAAATGAAATTAATTACGTTGAAGCAGATCAATGACTAGAGTTCAAATATTTATTGATTTAAGTTATATATTACATGTATGACTATAGACCTACATGATTTTTAGATTCAGAAAAGTATCATATATTGTTTTTTTTCTAACTTAGATCAGGAGTTTCTGAAGAATATGACGAAAAAACAACATTATTAGACGACATATTGGAATTAAAAGAGAAGGAAGAGAGAGTAAAAGAAAGTGAGAAAGAGAAGAAGTCTGCCGATGATCAAAAAGGAAAAGACATACGAAAACGTGCTCTTGAAAATTTAAGCAAAGGTAGGCTTTAAAAACGCTATTTTTAAAATTTGTTGTAAATATTCAATTTGTGTTTATTAAGATTAAATTTAAAAAAATCATTCAAATCACTTAAAAATTTTTCCCTTGATTTTAGTGAGAGAATTGATTTTAAATTTATAAATCTACTTGGTATTTGATCCATTTAGATGAAGATCAAGGTGACCAAACTCCGAAAAAAAGAAATTCTACAACTAATATTATGGAGTATCTGCAGACAAAATCTAACCAAGAAAGCGAATATAAGAAAGAGGAACTTAAACTGAGAGGAGAAGAACTTAAACTTCAGAGGGAAAGATTTGAATTAGAAAGAGAAGAAAGAAGGGAAAGAGTAGAGACTGAAAAAAAGGAAAAGGCTCTAATGTTGCAGCTTCTCCAGAAAGCTTTGAATCAAAAATAATTTTGTGTATTGCAAATTTCAAATTTTATTCAATAAATATCAAAATTGAAAAACACGATAAATAAATATCAATAAAACTTAAATCATGTCTTAAGTTTGTTTTGCACATTTTTCTTTACTCTGCGTCTTACATTTGAATGAAAATATTTCAGAACAGTCAACGATGTAAATATTCTTCAAGGGAGGGTGGATGCAGCCCGAAAAACGACCCAGTTTCGCTCCCATACAAACATGTATGACAATTGGTTAGTAAGGCAGCGACTTTACAGTATTTTCCAACAGGCTGAAGATAAAGTTTGTGGTTTTTCTTGTAATCAAGAAAAGCGAACAGGCTCAACAGTTTCCCAAATCCCCACTCCACACTAATTCTTACAGCTGACATGCGCCTGTTAAAACGTGCTTGGTTAGCAGAAAGAAAGGCACCTTTGAAGGGTGGTACAATGAATGGCGTTAAGGGATATGCTGGATCCCCCAAAACACAGTAGACCTCATTGTTGGGCATAGTCATATTTCTCTGCATTTCAATTTCCACACCACTCTCTCTAAGCAAACCAGCATCGTGTCGTCTCCCTTCCACTGGGCTATAAAAGTGCGCAATTATTCCAATAGGGGTCATGATACTTTGGAATTTCAAGCCATGCACTCGTTTATGGCCATTGTAAACAATTCTCTGGTTGTGCGCTGGACGACATATTGGTCGAACGGTACCATCGATGAAACCCCAGCAGTTTTCCAGAGGAGCATTTTTATCCCGAATAGCGGTAGCCATGGCTTGAAGCTCACCATGTGACAACCAGGGTCTGTTCAGTGTATCGAGAAGAAAGGCATAATTGTCGTATATGAAGTCAAGTGCTGTGTTAAATATGTTTGAAAGCTCATATTTTGTTCTACCAAATAGCGGGGATAAGTCCTCGAGACGATTAGGATATGCAAGACGCCTAATTACAACGGATAGCCCCTCCATTCCACTGCACACTGTGCGATTCGCACACCGAAAAACCTCTGGAACTTCCATTACACGTCTGATCTCATTCGATCCAGCTTTATCAAAGCGAAATAAATGCTTACATTGTTGGTCTGAAATGTCCTCTAATTGAAGTACAGATTCATATTTACTGGATTTTGTTTCCAGAAGTAATAAGTCGTCGTCTTCCGAAATTGCGGCCAGCATCTTTAAATTTAGTGCCATTTTCGAAAGATTGTAAAATCAAAGTTTATAAGCTAACAAATGTTTATTATTATCCAATGAAAAAAACTTTTACATTCAAAAATTTTCACGTACACGTACACGTTTTAATTGCTAAACAACAAAAGTAATAACAACTTGTACGTGTAACTCTAACTTGTAATTCACACGTACAAGTACGCGTACACGTTAGTTTGCTAAACCTCTCTATTTGCTTCTGATATCATTTTATGTTGTAGTAAATCATAGATTATATTTTTTTCACTGCATATAAATTATTTTTTTGCAATTCCTAATACCTAATGCGACAGTCAAATTCCATGTCAAGCCATGCTATGTTTTTAGCTCTACTAGTCAGAGACCAGAAGAGCTTATGCGATAGTAATGCGTCCGGCGTCCGTCCGTCTGTCTGTCTGTCTGTAAACAATTTTTCAAAATGCTACTCCTCCTACAGTTTTGGTTTGAATTTAATATAACTTGGCACACAAGTAGACTACACTAAGATACATAATTCTGTGTATTGGTTTTTGATTTTGATGAACGGTGTTGCCGTGGTTACTAAAAATAGAAATTTCTATGGAATTCTTTCAAAATGCTACTCCTCCCACAGTTTTGGTCTGATTTCAATATAACATGGCACACAAGTAGACTACACTAAGATACATAATTTTGTATATTGGTTTTTCATTTCGATGAACGGTGTTGCCGTGGTTACTAAAAATAGAAATTTCTGTGAAATTCTTTTGAAATGCTACTCCTCCCACAGTTTTGGTCTGATTTTAATATAAATTGGCACACGAGTAGACTACACTAAGATACATAATTCTGTATATCAGTTTTTGTTTTCCTTGAACGGTGTTGCCGTTGTTACTAAAAATAGAAATTTTTGTGAAATTCTTTCAAAATGCTATGTCTCCAACAGTTTTGGTCTGATTTCAATTTCACTTGGCACACAAGTAGACTACACTAAGATACATAATTCTGTGTATCAGTTTTTGATATTGATGAACAGTGTTGCCTTTGTTACTAAAAATAGAAATTTCTGTGACATTCTTTCGAAATGCTACTCCTCCCACAGTTTTGGTCTGATTTTAATATAACTTGGCACACAAGTAGTCTACACTAAGATACATAATTCTGTGTTTCGGTTTTTAATTTCGATGAAGTGTTTCCTTTGTTACTAAAAATAGAAATTTCTGTGAAATTCTGTCAAAATGCTATGTCTCCTACAGTTTTGGTCTGATTTCAATATAACTTGGCCCACAAGTAGACTAATTTAAGATACACAATTCTGTGTATCGGTTTCTGACTAATGAACATTATTGCCTTGGTTACTAAAAATAGAAATTTCTGCTAATACTCTCAAAATGGTACTCCATTAGATTAGTTTTAGGGGACGACCATTTGATTCTGAGGGGGTGGCCTGGCAATTTTTTTGAGACGGATTATTTATTTTCATGCCTGTCAAGGACAGATTATTTATTTTCAAGATTATCGAGGACAGATTATTTACTAGTATTTTCTTCTTTGTCTTACGGCACCTTGATCGATTGATTCTAAAAGACAAATCATTTATATACCATAAGCGGATTCAGGATGGGGGGCGTGTATAACTTCGTTCAGGCAAGAGGCCGCTTTAAGGCCCCCATTGGGTCTGGGCGAAGCACTGGTTGAGGCCAAGGGAGGGAAATTCCCCAGAAGCTCTTGGGTTTTCGGGTATTTTAAGAGTAAAACCAGGACAATTATACAGTAGTGGTATTGGTTATTATGTAGCAAAGTATGACATTATTAATATGTTGGTCATATCATAGTTTGAATGAAGGGGGTTCAGGGGGCGAAGCCCCCTGAAGCTCGTAGGTTTTTGTGTATTTTAAGAGTAAAACCAGGCACAATTATGTTGGAATTGGTTAGTTATGTTCCAAAGTATGACATAATTAATATTAGTCATATCATACTTTGAATGAAGGGGGCCCAGGGGGCGAAGCCCCCTGAAACTCTTGGGTTTTTCACTTGTATTCTAAGAGTAAAACTAAGCACAAAAATATTGGTATTGTACTAAAGTACGGCAATATTAATATAATTCATATCATACTTTGAAATTTTAGGGGAGGGGTCATACACATTGTATGCCTTCCTTAAATCCGCCACTGTGTACTTTGTATTAATTTATCGGGAAGTATAATTCTTTGACAAGAAAATTTATCTTTTGTGGTGTATAAGAATTGGCTTGTATTTAAAGTGATTCATCACATCTACTGAGTGCACATTGTCATGTTGATCTACTGACTACAAGTATCCAGTCTGGTAATCTGATTTTAAATATTCTTTGGTTCTAAAATGGCGAGCGAAGCTAGCCAAAAAAAAAAAATACTGAATTGAAGATTCTGAGGTTAAATTACACGGAAATAAAAAGGTATTTTCACAATATTTAAATATCATGTCAAGGTCAGATTATTTATTTTCTTTGCAGAGGAGGACAGATTATTTATTTTCAACATTTTCAGGGACAGATTATTTATTTCCAAAATCTGCCAGCCCCCCCCCCCTTAGAATCAAATGGTCGTCCCCTTAGTCTGATAATAATATATAATGTGGCATGCAAGTAGATTTCACTAAGAACATTAAGAGACCTAATCAAGGATCATTATTTTATTTATTGCTGTTGTAAAGTTTCAATTCCCAACTGCTTAAGTACTTTTCTCTTCCTTTGCTATAAGTACAACCAGTAAAGTTTCAGTCTCGACAGAGACTTCTGGTTTATGAATTTTATATATTCAACAGCAAGTTGTGTAGAAATAGGATTTTGTACATTATTTACACTATTTACACAATATCCGGTGTAAATCCCTGTATTATATGTGGATCGCTGGAACGAGCATCAGCCATTCAGGTATCCCTTGGGTCCAAATACCGCGAATTTGTATCAAATGATAGAATTGTAACTTTTCGTGTTCTTGTTGCATATGACGATAAATATCATTGCACTTGTAGCAAATCAGACCACAAAACACACTAGGACAATCATACATAGCGCACATTATCCTTATGTGATCTCGGTAACTTCCAAGTTTCCAAAATATGTGAGGATGTGAAAGATACTTCCTAACATGGCAAGACTGTCCTTCCTCACGCGACACAAAAGCCACTTCCTCCTGCGTCTCAAACTCCTGAAATTCAAATGGATCATCTCTACAATATCTATCTGTTAATTTGGAGAAAATTATAATACAAAGATTAAAAAAGTATCAAAATGAATTAATCACCATAAATGCAAGGCTTCATGTCATTTCTCTACGAAAAATGTTTTTAAATTAAAATCTTTTAAATCTTTGACTTTAAATAATACCTTAATATATGGCTAGTTACATGTAGGTCATTGCTATTTGTTTTCTTCTGTCGTCGTTCGTCGTGTTTTAACATTTGAACATTTTCAGCTTCTTCGAATTCTCTGCAACCATCGTCTCAAGCCACGGTCCGTAGTCTGCATGTAGCTCTCTCCTACCAGAATTGGAGAGGATCGTACATGCAATTTGGCCGTTGTTTTGGAATGATGCTCTGCAACCGCTCAAACAATATTGGCATAAAGCATCTTTGGGATCTTTGACCCTCAAAAATTGTGGATTTGAGGGTCCCAGTCCCTTTAGACCTGAGGGGTTGGACTAAAACCACCAAATTAGTGCAATCTTTAAAAAATATTCATTTTCACTCCTGGACATCAAGCAGTCAAACTGTTTGCCTGTATTTAATAAGCAGTGAGTCCTCTACCAAAGATGTGAAATTCATGGCCCCGGGGTCAAGGTTTCTGGAGTTAGGG